GTGGAAAGGATCACACTCTCTCAGCAGAACCACATCAAGAATTTGCTGGTCCATTTTGGGATGGACAATTGTAAGTCGGTGAGTACTCCTGCAGTACTTGGTAATAAATTTTCAGAATCGAAGGAAGATGAGTCGAGAGGTTGGCCCTATCGACTGGCTATTGGATCCCTGACATATCTAGTGATGGCTAGCCGACCTGATCTCGNTTTTTAATTTTGCGTTTTTTTCGCTTGTAAAAAAAATTCCTATCGCCTTTGATTCCCACTGAACGAAATCGGTGTCATCGATTTTTTTCGACTCCCGGTTTCACGTGGAATCGCCCAGGAAGGAATTATATAGTTGATGAATATCGAGACAATTCAATAATCAAGTCGAAGTAAGCCCTAAAATGTAGATTTCGGCGAATCTCCATGGAATTTTTTTCCATCTTCTGCGATTTTAATGATTAAGAGCTGAAGTTCAAATGTTTCCTTTAAGAAACTAAGATTGATAAGTCTATGGAAATAGATTTGCGGTATTCACTGTGCTCAATGACAAAAAATTTGTATATATGGAAAAATATATGAATTTTATCCTGCGGAATTCAATTCTTTTCTATCTCGATCGAGTTGGCCAATAAACACATCGGAGCGCCCCAACATTCGCACAAATGTTAACGTGCTGCCCACTTCCATCCCATCCATGATAACTCTTTATCTATCGCAGTTAGGAGAAAAAGTTATATGATAAAATAGGGTCAGCGTAGGGCGTACTATTTCTATTTCCACTCTAAAAATAGCTTTGAAATTCGGTGGAGAGAATAAATCTGGAGTGGAACTGTTTATTTCCCTTCAATTGTTGATCCAAAGAATGTTCTATCTTATGAAAAATGAACTAGTTAAATTTGATTGAAAAGAACAAATTTCACCGGATGTAAAAACAGTCCTTGCTTATTTAAAAAAAATAATGAAATCTGCCTAAAAACACAAAAACAAATGTTTTTGTAAAAAAACTTGGCCAAGAAAAAGTTTTGTTTGATTCCTACTGGGAAATCGAAGTTTTTGAAAAATACATAGAAATAAAAAAGGCAGCCAAGTTAGGAATTTTGAATAAATGGTGATAGCGCACATTCAGGTTTCTATAAGAAAAATAGTTCTCAATGGAATAAGTATTCTAAAAAAATTCTCCATGAAATAAAAAATCAGTAGGAGCAGGACCAACGTTCTTGGCGCGGAGTTTTTCAATTCACTGTCTGCATCTATCTATCCCTCCATCCTTTGATCCGCGCCAAGTCACTAGCGTCAACTCACGCCCTTGATGAGCGTAAAGAAATGTAAAATAATACGACACGCAGCCAGGAAAATTAAACGTTGTCTGATTGTTCTTGGTAGAAGACCTTGTATTTGTCGTACACTTTCAATCAGATTGCGATATTTCACAAATTATCAACACATTATAATTCGCTGTCATCGGGGATGAAAGGGGGAGGAAGAGGAGGAGGTAAGTGGTCTGAAAAACTACAAATTTCGTGGAATCGTGTCTCCATACAACCTCCAAGGGTTACAGTGAGTACGAATCTAATTAGTTGTCCTGAGACTTTTGCTCCTGCAACATCATCCCTTCTTCTCTGTTCAGTGTGTTAAATTTCCTCTAGAAATTGATTGAATCGTTATTCTCCTTTAGGTGTTCGTCAGTTTGGATCGAGGTATGTAATCAGTCTGTCTGTAATGTGCTAGTGGAGAAGTTATAAAATAGGAGGAGTTCATTTTTATTTTTCAATGGATAATAAATTATCATAGTCACGAGTACATTCATGAAAGAATGTGTACATCCAGTCGTTGTTGTGGACTTGTTGAGCGCTAAATATAGAGTCACTACACGTTCTTCTGAAATCACTCCCTTCTAAGATAAATGGACTATTTATGAGAATATCGGAATAGATTCAATGGTCTTCATTACTAACTCCATATCTATGGCTTCATTAATCTAATATTGATCTATCCATAGGACTGATCAACTCATTTTTTTCATAAGATGCCCCATACCGAGAGAAGTGCTAGTCCACTGCGCGCCCCCGGAGATAGAGGTCACGTTGGAAAAGGTCTACGTATAATTTCGGAATTGCTACGGAAAAAATTTCCATCCTTTCCGGCGAATGCACGACTGGGTATCAACTGTACAAAGAAAGCTGCCACTTATATTCCTAGCCCATCACCCCCTAATTTTCATCCACACATCGAAGCCTTCCCTCCGATATTTGATTCAACAGCGACTAGAGGCTCCGATGATTCTTCCGGATACTCTTCAAATCTTACACCATTCGTGGCGGACATTTCTATCGGTAACATCACAAACAGTTCATTGAGATCTGGTAATTCTTTCCATTCAGTTGATCCTAATAATAATGGATTTAAAGAAGCGTTCGATTACCCAATGGAAATCGACGATTTCTCAGTAGATGAAGATTCAGACAATGAAGTGAGCAGGAGAACAGTAGAATATTCACGTTCTCCTCGAGAAGTTGAGCTGGAAGAAATGTTAAATGGCCTGAAAGAAAAATTTGAGAATACAGAGGGATACGCTGAAGGTCTACAAATTGCTCCATTGTCATGGAATACTCGGAAAGTGAGTAAAGAATTTGGAGCCACGAGACACATGGCTCAGAGAGCGAAAAAATTGACAAAAATGAGAGGAGTATTAGCTTCGGCCGTCGCAAAAGCAGGAAAATCATTACCCAATGAAATTATTGAGAAAGTCCACACGTTTTACGAGAATAACAGTTGAATTATGCCAAAATTATGCAGAAAAGGCTGGTACTTGAAAATTTCGCAGATCTGCATCAACAATATGAAACTTCTCATCTGGAATCTCCTGTGGGGTTCAGTAAGTTTGCGGAGTTGAGACCGAACCATTGTGTATTGGCAGGAACGAATGGGACGCATGTTGTCTGCGTCTGTACATACCACCAAAACCGCAAATTGATGTTGGATGCCATCAATATTTCCACTCTCACAGAAGATTCAATTTTTCCTCTTACGAACTACCAAGATTGTCTCGCGAAGCTCATGTGTTCCAATCCAATGCCTGCGTGCCATTTCGAATGAATGCCAAAACTGTCCGGGAGTTGATGTGCTATCACATGAATTGGAAAAATTACTTTGTAACAACGCTATGATTGAAAATGTGGAATTCAAAACGTGGCAAACTGTGGATAGAGCAACATTGCAGATTCAGAAACTTCCAGCAAGTGAATTCATTGATTTAATTTGTGAACGATTGAAAACGTTGAAATCTTATCATTTCATTGCCACTGAGCAAACAGCCTATGTAAAAGGGCGAAAGGAGAATTTAGTTAAAGGAGAAATTCTGGTTCAGTGTGATTTCTCCGAGCATTATTCCTTCGTTTCGCAGGATGCAGCCCAATCACTTCATTGTAATAATGACCATTGCACTGTACATCCAATGGTCTATTATTATCGTTAGGGGAGTGATATTCGCCATCGAAGTCTAGTCCTTCTATCTGATAGTCTTGTCCACGATACTGCTACGGTTTACGTGATGCAAAAGATTTTGATAGAGGACATAAGAAAGTCTGTTAGGTAGTGACAAAATTGATTTATGTTACCGATGGAGCTGCACAACATTATAAGAATCGTTACCAAATCGCAAATCTTTTGTCCCACAAAAATGATTTTGGAATTGAAGCGGGAGCTCATTATCATGCGACTGCACATGGTAAAACGGTATGTGATGGAGTAGGCGCAGTTTTGAAGAGGGGAGCGAGGCAAACGAGTCGCAGATAACTCAAGGGGAACCTACCCTCATACCTAGTGATCTGTTTCGCTGGGCGAAAGATCACCCCAAAGATCTTGATGTATTTTTTTATAGTAAAGAAAAACACAAAGTTATCCAGGACAGCCTAAAACAAAGTTTCAACAGTGCGAAGGCCATTCCAGCCATCCAAAACAAATCATTGCTTCATCCCTGGAGAAGATGGACAATTATTAATTAAAAGATATTCAGCCGCGGCTAGTGGAGAAGTTTTCCGAAAAAAAGTCGATGAAAGCATTAACTTATATACCTAGCGATCTCATATGAAAATCGAAGATTTTTAAGTTGTTTTTTCTTTCTCGAAGTCGATGTTCATCAATTTAAGTGGTATTAAAACTATTATATTCTACTTATTTCAAGTTGACAATGGAGTTACGTTATCCATTGAGTAAAAATGTATTGTTGGAAATTCGGCCTGAAAAGGCATCCAGACCAGTCGGTGGTCATCGGCCATCTTCGGTCACATGATCAGAAGAGGGGGAAATACCCAAAAAACCCCTCGGGCTTCACTCATCGTTCAGAATTGTATCAGACTACACGTTTTTATATCATTCTGGAAGTTAATCTCAGGCATTTTGTATCTTTGGAATTATATCATTTCAGTTTGTTATCACGGAGTTTACAATCACGTTTACTGGTCAGTTATCAGTTTCGGTTCTCTTGGAAAATTAACAACAATTCTTTGTGAACATTATCAGTGAATTAGTGGACAATAGTCGTGTAAATACTTGTTTGAAAATATATCGACTTGCCTTATGGCTACATCATCGTAATTGATTTTTCCCAGTATACTTCCCCAAATTTCCACACACGAAACCTACTCCCCATCCACCCACACGTTCAATTCGCAACAATTGGTCCTTCGAGCCGGATTGGAGGAGTTGAAATTAGTGATTCGTGTGTTTTACTAGTGGAAAAAATCATCTTCATAAAATTATCGACCGTGTGGGCAACGCCCAAAACGGTTTGCCTGACGTCAAGGACACTCAACAGAGGCGAAATTATCAAGTGTTTACATTTTGGACAGACGATCAGTGCCGGGAGAGTATCACGGGGTTTGTTTACATCGGTGTTGCGGACAATCAAACATCGCTTCGAGTCGCTTAAACTCGGGCTCAAGCGAGAGACAGGGGTTCTCAAAAATTCACGGGATCAACGGTGCTCAATCAATCCGGTAAGCTACAAGAATCATGGCATCGACTGGTGGGGATAATCCGGAAGGGAATCATGACGTTCTACACGGTGGTGGGGATGAAGAAAAGCAGCGGAGAGACCAAGTTCCACCTACCACCTCTCGCACTGAATCAAAAGCCCCACTCACACCATCTGAGATGATGATAGCTCGGTTGGGGGTACAATACTCACGTCAGGCGTATCTAGAGAGAGGGCTTGCACGCCTGAGGAATACAAGGGTGGAAGATCTCACGGAGGAGGAGCTCAATTCGATGGAAAAGATAGCAGATAAGCATTTTGAACATTTCAATACCTATTATAACACATTTCAAAATGCTCCAACGGAGGAGTTCCTCGATTCAGATTATTACAAGGAGGATGTTCATGGACTCACGATGACTATTCATAGTGACATCATCACAATCATTGGAAGATTGAGGGGCGAGATCAAGAGATCAAGGTCATCAACATCAACGGACAACAATCGAGGAAATCTATCGAGAATCGCTCTACCAACATTCGATGGTCGGTATGAGGCTTGGAAACCATATGAGGATCTATTTAACTCTATGGTGAGACTGGTAAAGGGCATTCCAAGTGTGGAAAAAATGGTTCGACTCAATGGATCACTCAAAGGAGAGCCACTCAACATGATCTCCAATCTCACAGTTACTGACGACAATTTCGAGATTGCTTGGAACAAATTGGTAAAGCACTATGACAACAGGAGGTTGATTATAGCAGCTCACATCGACAAAATCTTGGAATTGAAACCTGTGGTTGACGACCCAGCCAAGGGGTTAAGCAATCTCAGCAACATCATCACGCAAGCACTGGACGCGCTGAGGGCTCTTGACGCTCCAGTTGATCATTGGGACTTAATCGTTGGAAGGATAGCGAGGCGCTGTATCGACTTGGATACCAAGAAAGCTTGGGAAGTTCATCTCGGTGGATCAAGGGATCCTCCAACACTCAGAGAACTTCTCGACTTCATCGAGGCAAGGGCTCGTGCACTGGAGAATGTGGCACACGACAAACCAGCTCAAACTTCTAAGGATTCTTCATCAAAATTCAAAGGAAAACATCAGCAATTCAAAGTTCATCATGCTTCTGCGGCTGGAGGCCAAGCGAAGGCTCCAGCTGAGGTATCAAAATCAGGAGTAAAGGAGAGTCGACTCTGTGGAGGTGATCACTGGCTGGGGTTCAACTGTGAGAGCTTCAGGGCGAAGACTCCAACTGAACGTAGAGAAATCGTCATAGCAAAGAACCTTTGCTACAACTCTCTCGGACCTCATCGAGCTCCAACATGCACCACCAAAGAAAGATGCAAAGTTAAGGATTGCAATGGGAATCATCACACACTGATCCATGAGGGGTCACCAGAATATCGCAGGGAACTTCAACAACAGACTCAGCTGAGTCAGCCGTCACCGGGAAGTTCTGGAGAATAACTGGGGACATCGGAGAACTCAGGATTGAGAGGTTAAGTATCATTTTATTAATTATTATCTTTGGCAAATGATACGGCTCTCATCCTGTGTTTCTCTCCCCCAGGTCAATCATCATCAGGATCATCATTAACAAATCCAAGGGAATTGGCAACACCATCATCATCAACTGGACCAGTTGAGCAATCAGCTGACTCCAAGGTCATTCATCAAACATCAACATCAGAACAACGGGTAGTGCTATTGGCAACAGCCAAGGCACTTGCAGCATCATCATTCGGAACCTATCATCACGTCAGACTTTTGATCGATCAGGGATCAGAGGTCACCTTCATCACGGAAAAACTGGTCAACATCCTTCAACTTCGACGCAAGTCGACAAACATCAAGATCTTCGGAATTGGCGGGCTAGAGTCAGGGTCAACACGTGGAGCAGTCAAGGTCAATCTTCACTCTCGATTTAATCATCAAAACCAAGTCGAGGTCACTGCTCACATCCTGACGAAGCTTACATCAACTCTACCATCAATCCATTGTACTAAGGCGGAATTAAATCATCTTCAAGGGCTTCAACTGGCAGATAACAATTTTCTCAAACCTGGGTCAATTGATATCATCATCGGTGCAGATCATTACGGTCAGATCATTGGTAACAACATCTCCAAATCATCTGATAATCAGACTGTTGTACAACAGACCATATTTGGGTGGATAATATCAGGGACGGTCTGCTGTACAAGTTGCCAACCGAAAACATCTCTAACTGCAGCACGAGAGTCGTCGAGTGAGCAGCTTCTAGACCTACTCAAACGGTTTTGGGTTCAAGAGGAACCTCCATCACACGAGAACATGGAATTAGGCCCTGAAGAGTTGGAATGTGAGGAACATTTCCAACGCACACACACAAGAGAGAGCTCAGGACGCTACGTTGTACGTCTTCCACTCAAAACATCACCATCAGCACTGGGTCAGTCAAGAAAACACGCTCTCCAGCTGTTGAATCGAACATCTACCAAATTATCATCAAATCCATCATATGGGAAACTCTACAAGGATTTCATCAACGAGTACGAGGCTCTTGGTCACATAAAAAGAGTCTCAGAAGCATCAGAACCATCACCGGTCTTCTATCTCCCTCATCACGGTGTTCTGAGGGAAGATAGCATCACGACCAAGCTCAGGGTGGTCTTCAACGGGTCGAGCAAGACATCATCAGGAGTTTCACTGAATGAAATCCTTCATTCTGGTGGAAAGCTTCAGGTAGAAGGATCAGACGTTCTCATATGGTTGAGAACACATCGTTGGGTAGTCGGACCAGATATCGTCAAGATGTTTCGTCAAATCAACGTGAATGAAGAGGATTGGGATCTTCAGAGAATCTTGTGGAGGGTTGACGACAACAATCTCATCACCTATCAACTTACAACGGTCACGTACGGTCAAACCTGTGCTCCATGATTGGCCCTACGAGTTCTTCAACAATTGGTGGAAGATGAAGGTCATCGGTTTCCAATGGCGGCGGTCTCCTTGATAAAAGGGAGATACGTCGACGATATCTACGGAGGAGCAGAATCAGAGGATCAACTAAAGGAACTCATTAATCAACTGATCGGACTTTGCACGGCGGGCGGCCTCCCCCTGCAAAAATGAAATTCAAACGGTCAGGAAATTCTCCAGGAACTTCATTTGACATCATCACCCCCCAGAACAGTGGAATTTGAGAATAGCACGGTCAAGGTGTTGGGACTGTTCTGGAATCCAATCTCAGATGTCTTCACCTACAAGGCGAAAGAAAAGTCAAAGGCTACTATCAACAAAAGGAATGTTCTCTCAGAGATCGCACAACTGTACGATCCTCTGGGACTCATCGGACCAGTCATCATCAGAGCAAAAATCTTTATCCAGGAATTATGGCTATTGAAAATCGGTTGGGATGACCCATTGCCAATGAGTCACATCAAACGTTGGAACGAATTCAGAGAAGAATTCACTCAACTCGGACAGATTCAGATTCCAAGATGGCTTCAAACCTCATCAACATCATCAAGCATTCAAATTCATCGGTTGGCTGATGCATCAAATCTGGCCATGGGGGCTGCGGTGTATATCAGAGTAGATAATCACGGTTTGGAACCATCAATCATTTTGGTATGTGCGAAAACCAAGGTCGCACCACTGAAGAAGATCACCATCTCACGGTTGGAACTGCTAGCGGCAGTATTATTATCAAATCTGGTTACTTACGTGCAGAGGGGGCTGGGGAGAGAAGATTTATCACTCTTTCTCTGGTCGGATTCAACAACAGCACTTACTTGGATCAATGGACACCCATCAAGATGGAAGGACTTCATCCAAAATCGAGTTATTAAAATTCAAAACTCCTTACCATCAGCAGCATGGAGACACATCAGTGGGAAAGACAATCCAGCGGATTGTGCATCGAGAGGACTATCTCCAAGTCAACTGGTAGATCATCAGCTCTGGTGGAATGGTCCACCATGGCTCAAGTCACCACAGGAGGAGTGGCCATCTTCATCAACGGTAATGGAATCGACGACGGAAGCAGCATTGGAGGAAAGACCAGTGCTGGCTCATCCTGTAGCACACGTGCAACAACCTCAGGACTTGTTGGAGAGGTATTCTACATTTAACAAGGTTCTGAGAGTATCAGCAAGGGTCATGAGAGCGATCAAGCTCATGAGACATCAAGAGGTACCAGATTCTCCAGTTTTACTACTGGATGATGTCAGAATCTATTGGATCAAACTCACTCAAAACGAACATTTTGAAGCACTCATCAATCTACTCAAGAATGGAAGAGAGATCTGGCACAATCATCCCCTGGAAAAGCTAACACCATGGTTAGACGAAGATCAGATGCTTCGTCTTGGCGGGCGGCTCAGGCGCACACATCTGGAGCCAGATGCTATGACACCCGCTATCATCTCAAGACAATCAAGACTCACATCACTGGTCATTGAGGAAGCTCATCGGAAAACTCTCCATGGAGGAGTTCAGTTAACATTGGCATACATCAGGCAAAGGGACTGGATTGTGGAAGGAAGACAACCAGTCAAATCTCACATCTTGAAGTGCATCATCTGTGCAAGGCATCGAGCAATCAGGGCGCAACAGCTGATGGGACAGCTGCCGCCAAGGAGAATCACACCTGCGAGACCATTTCTACACACTGGAGTGGACTTCGCTGGGCCTGTCAAACTTCTCAGGTGGAGAGGTTCAGGTGCCAAACAATATCAGGGCTATATCGCAGTATTCGTGTGTCTCGTCACATCGGCGATTCACCTCGAACCTGTGACAGATCTAACCAAGGAGGCATTCATCGAGACTTTCAAAAGGTTTACTGGGAGAAGAGGCATCTGTGCCACCCTCAGCTGTGACAATGCGCTGACGTTTGTAGGAGCGGAAAAGGAACTAGGCAGACTCTTCAATCGAGCATCAGCGGAACTTCATCACGTCGCCAACGTTTTAGCATCAGATGGTACGAAATGGACATTCATCCCTCCTGCTTCACCACACTATGGAGGAAAGTGGGAGGCAGCAGTGAAATCTCTCAAACATCACCTCAAACGCATCACGAACAACCTGGCGCTCACCTTTGAGGAACTCATTACGGTATTAATTCAAATCGAGGCACAATTAAATTCAAGACGTCTCTGTCCTCTATCAGATGATCCAGAGGACTGCAGAGCACTCACACCAGGACATTTCATCATCGGAGACGCAATCAACGCTGTTTCAGAGCCCTCACTACTGGGTGAGAGACTGGACGGTCATCAGAGGTGGAAAATCTTCACGCAATGGGTTCAGGATTTCTGGGACAGGTGGTACAGGGAATGTATCCACAGGTTTCAGACAACATCAAAATGGAGACATCAAACGGAAGGTATCAAGGTGGGGGATCTCGTGCTCATGGTCAATGAGAGATTTCCTCCAACGAAGTGGCCAATGGGACGAGTCACTCGAATCCATCCTAGCACAGACGGGCTACCACGGGTGGTAGACTTCATCACGAGAGGTGGACCAACACCATCAACATTCACCAGGCACATCAACAGGTTGGTTCCACTGCACAGTCGACACAGACGCAGAAGTAGAGGTTGAGGATCATTCGTCATCAGCCGATGACGAAGGCGGGCGGAATGTTGGAAATTCGGCCTGAAAAGGCATCCAGACCAGTCGGTGGTCATCGGCCATCTTCGGTCACATGATCAGAAGAGGGGGAAATACCCAAAAAACTCCTCGGGCTTCACTCATCGTTCGGAATTGTATCAGACTAAACGTTTTTATATCGTCCTGGAAGTTAATCTCAGGCATTTTGTATCTTTGGAATTATATCATTTCAGTTTGTTATCACGGAGTTTACAATCACGTTTATTGGTCAGTTATCAGTTTCGGTTCTCTTGGATAATTAACAACAATTCTTTGTGAACATTATCAGTGAATTAGTGGACAATAGTCGTGTAAATACTTGTTCGAAAATATATCGACTCGCCTTACGGCTACATCATCGTAATTGATTTTTCCCAGTATACTTCCCCAAATTTCCACACACGAAACCTACTCCCCATCCACCCACACGTTCAATCCACAACAGTATGATACAGAAGTAAATGGTGAGTTTCATATGTGATTTGCATAATTATAGCCGTTAATGTCGAAAAAGAATAATTTTTTATGGAACCAAATTTTTTTCCTCATCTCTATATCGATATCACATTTCTAAATATACCGAAAAAATTGGGAAAATTATTATTGTCTATCGAGAAAATAAGAATTGAATGATATTCGACTGGCCCCTGCGTAACAGTGGAATTTGAAAACTTCAAACCTCTGAAAATGGGTTATTACTCGTCCTCGCAATACTGGTGTTTTTTTTTCATATAGTACATGAGAAAAATGAAAAAATTGTTCTTTATTTAGTAACATCCGTCAATTTGTTCGCGAGATATGATTTTTCAAATATTTGAGCTTTTGACACACGTTGTAGACAAGCAATTTATGTTAAAGAAACGAAAATTTACGGAAAGCATGTACTTATCTAGTACTTGACTTCGAGCATGTTAATTCAGGGTTCTGAGAACCCGACAAATTCAGGGTGGTTGAGTTGACATGGAATGCCCCATATTTGAACAAGTATTTGGGTGCATTAACAGATGATACTACTTCAACATTAATGTTACAATTAAGTATGAGCAGTAATTGAGGATTATATGATATTACCCATCTGTTATGAAATAAATACGCACCAGCTTTTTCATAGTACAGACCAGTATTCCTTCTCTGATAAGTTGGATAAGAATCTTCATCTATCGTCGTTTTCTCTTGGAAATTTTTAGGAAATTTTTTTGAGAATTTCCCCTTTTCTTGACACCACTTAGCACATGGTCCGTGAATCATATTTTTTTGACAATCTCAAACAAACGTGGATGTTCGATATGATCTGCAATTTCAGCTGAATTAATAGAATCAATTTTCTCCGGCATTTTCCATTTATCTCGTAGAGTCACAAGAGCACTGATCAACAATTAAATCAATGAGATGTTTTTTCTTCATAGAAAAAATACGGGCAGTTATATCTGCCCTATCTGCTGGAGTTTGACCTTCTTTTATACTATCCCTAATTTTCCTCCCATTAGGGTTAGAAGTCATTGTTATAAATAAATCGGGCTTCCCAAATTTGCTAACCATAGCCATCGTGTCTTGATAGTTTTGCATCATATATCTCGGCGATCCTATAAAACTTGATGGTAAGATGATGACTCTTCCAATGTGGTTGTTATCTCTATGCGGATGTTTCTAGATAATCCAATAAATTTGTATAATTATCAGCCCGTAACTTGGATTGAAACGCTTCAATATATTTGAATCGATTTTTTTCAACTTTTAAATATTGATCAACAACCCATTGTTGAAATAACCACCGGTCTTGAAGAATGACATTTGTGTTGTTATTGTCTCGAACTGCCATGCGAAATTTCGTATAAGCAGTTCTACTCATCTTCTCTCCTGTACCAACAGATTTAAATTTCGTATGCCATCCTTTTGTACCTTGGGGATAAATTAAAGCATAAATCCACGGTTCGACTTTCGGATCTATAGAACTAATTGTCTTTAATTGTTTAGTATCTTTGTCTCGTACAGTGAGATAGGCTTCTGGTATTTCTCCGCCTGCCGCAGTGGAAAACACAGTAGCCACTTCATTGGACCATTGTGGATTATAACGATTACGATCTAAGTCCAATCTCGAGGTGAATGATAAAAATAATTCTGGTAGAGGTACTTCATTATTCATATCTCTTATTCTATTCTGTTGTGCTCGAACTTCTTCATGCATCATTTGATAGGATTCAACGTATGGATTGCAATCGCGCATAGTTGAATTTATTATCTGTAAGACTTCTTTACCGAATGACGAATCAGTATTCTGTAGAACATTGATTGTTTCTACCGAATCAAGAATGGAAAGTTGTCCATGTCTTGGTCTGTCGTTGCCAGCGGGATATAATGTAGTATTAAATTAAGAATAAATTTGTCCTTGAATTCGAAAACAATAAGGCCCCGGTCGACGATTCGAGTAATTCATTAAATTTGCATTGAATGTAGCAAATAGGAAAGAATTATTGTAAAATCTTATTCGATTGGAGAATTTATTGGATTTGGCGTGGGTTCCATCGAAAAGAAGTTTCAAATACTGTGGCATTTCAGGTAATGAGGGTAATTTGACTTTACCATGTTCGCAACATTGATTAAATGAATTTGTCTTTTTACTAATAACTGCGCATTGAAAATGTTTGGCTTTACAATGTTGACAAATTTCTGTCATTTTACCCCCATAATGTTCTTCAATTTCATTCAGATTCATAATAGATGTAGTTCCATAGGACAAGGTAATACTGTCTTGTGAATTCAGGATCAATTTATTTCCATGTAAGATTTCATCATCAACATTCACACTACACTGAAGACCGTGTAAAATTTCCTCTGTTGACATTGTTTGTGCATTATCACATGAAGTAGTATTCATTTTTCATACCGATTTTTGCTTTGAATTTAAAGTGATCTTATGCATACCATGATTATCCTTTTCTAAAATGTATGAGTTTGATTTATTTTTTCTACTCGGATTATAAGAACATTGCAGTAGTTTGAGATATTATTGAAAGTATTTGTGGACTCAGAATCGCGATTAGTGGCATATTGATTGATTTTAACAGTTGCTAAGGGAGAAACCCGATTTTCCCATGATTGTATGTTATTTTTAACTCCAACATCCATCAATATGTTTGATTGTTTAGAAGTATACTGTGATTTTCGAGAAGAATCTGTCGGATTTGAAGAAAAATTTCCAGCAGTATGTGTAGAGCACTTCGTTTTTGTTAATTCAAATAATTTTGAGTTGCACAGGAGAGTTCGTTACTTTTAAAGGCTTTTCTTGTCCAAGAACATTGGGAATGTTAGAAGGTGGAGGGTGCTTCCCATAGAGTCGGAAAGGAGATGACATTGAACCATTTAATGTAACAATTCGAGTCATAATTCGGAGTTTCTGTGAGGTATTTCTTGAATTGTCTACTGGTTGTCTCTGATTCAAATATGCATTATCAGTACAAGTAGCAAAACCTTGAGATTTTGTAATTCTTGACTGTTCGATGTCGGGTCTGAGATCTATGGAGTAAGTGAGCGATAAGGCAGATGCAAATGGATTTTTTACGGGACCGCGAGAAGGTCCAGAAAACACAACACGTGCACGCTGGTCAAACACAGTCAATTTAATTAAGGTAAAGTCAATATTTACACGTGATGGTTTAATTATAATTATCGAGATGGTGAAAGGAATAGCGCGGGTCACAATATTGTTAAATAGTTCACAGAACTTATAACACAGAGTAATTATACGCGGAACTCAGTACAGACAATAGAGCAATTCGGGGAAAGCTAAAGTACAGTGAGCGCCATAAAGTTGGGCGGCCAGGGTACTCGGATCGGACCCGCAACCAGGCCGAAATTACCTGCTTTTTACGTGCTTTTTTTCTGCACAAAAAATAAATTTTCTGCTACAATAGATTTTCCGGAAAATCGATTTTCATGATTGGAGCATCAAGTCAGGCGGCCACATTACCTAGATAAGATCGATGACTGCACTAAAGTCAAAAGCTTTTTAAGTGCTAATTTTCTGCGAAGAAAAAAAGGGGAAAAAATAATTTTTCCGGGAAAATCAAAATTTTCTGGTGGAGCCTGGAAGCGACTGTCCTCGGATCGGACCCGCAACCAGGCCAAAATTACCTGCTTTTTTATCAGATCGAGACAAAGCTCTTGACTTTAGTGCAGTCATCGATCTGATCTAGGTAATGTGGCCGCCTGACTTGATGCTCCAATCATGAAAATCGATTTTCCGGAAAAACTATTGTAGCAGAAAATTTTTTTTTTGTGCAGAAAAAAAGCACGTAAAAAGCAGGTAATTTTGGCCTGGTTGCGGGTCCGATCCGAGGACAGTCGCTTCCAGGCTCCACCAGAAAATTTTGATTTTCCCGGAAAAATTATTTTTTCCCCTTTTTTTCTTCGCAGAAAATTAGCACTTAAAAAGCTCTTGACTTTAGTGCAGTCATCGATCTGATCTAGGTAATGTGGCCGCCTGACTTGATACTCCAATCATGAAAATCGATTTTCCGGAAAAACTATGGTAGCAGAAAAATTTTGTTGTGCAGAAAAAAAGCACGTAAAAAGCGGATAATTTTAGCCTGGTCGCTAGTCCGATCCGAGGACAGTTGCTTCCAGGCTCCACCAGAAAATTTTTATTTTCCTGGAAAAATCATTTTTTCCCCTTTTTTTCTTCGCAGAAAATTAGCTCTTAAAAAGCTCTTGACTTTAGTGCAGTCATCGATCTGATCTAGGTAATGTGGCCGCCTGACTTGATGCTCCAATCATGAAAATCGATTTTCCGGAAAAACTATTGTAGCAGAAAATTTTTTTTTTGTGCAGAAAAAAAGCACGTAAAAAGCAGGTAATTTTGGCCTGGTTGCGGGTCCGATCCGAGGACAGTCGCTTCCAGGCTCCACCAGAAAATTTTGATTTTCCCGGAAAAATCATTTTTCCCCTTTTTTCTG